CGCCGGTGGGGGGGGGGGGGGGGGGGGCTTTAATATGTGGAGCCAAAAAATGAGGGCTATTTTGATGCAACTTTTATGTGCTAAAGCCTTAGATAACTCTTGGCCTGTTGAAATGTTTGTTGCTAAAAGAATCGAGTTAGAAGAAAGAGCATGGAGTACTAATTTCTTGTACCTTTTAGACAATGTGATTAGGTCTATAGGTGAAACTAAAACTGTTGAAAAGTTGTGGACCAAATTGAAAGCTCAATATGAGCTAAAAACTGTTAAAAATAAATAGTTTTTGCTAAAAAAATTCTTTTCTTTCAAAATGGACTCTTTTGATTGACTTAGATGAGAACTTGAACAGATTTACTAAATTGACCCAAGACCTTGCCAACTATGACGAGAAATTATTAGAAGATCAGCTGACAGTGGTCTTGTTAAACTCCATTAGTGATAAGCATAGAGACCTCAAGAATGCTTTAGAATATGAAAGAGATGAGCTTACCAAAGATATAATTATAAATGCCTTAAGAAATAGGGTTCTTGAATTAAAATCCGATTCTATTAGCCAACAAAGTGGTGAAAATCTTTTGATAAAAGGTAAAAATGTTGGTAATTCTAATTCTTATTCAAAATTTCAGAATGACCCCAAGAAAAGGAACAATGACAAAATGAAATCCAAAACTAAGGCAAAGGGAAAGAAATGTTATTATTGTGGTAAGTTAGGTCACTTTGCAAAAGATTATTACAAAAAGCAAAATGATTTGAAAGAAAAGAAGTTGAATAAGGGTAATGCTGTTTTGTCCTATGATAAGCAAAAAATTGATAATGGCCTGATTTTTATAAATGTTGAAAGGAACCTAGATCAAGAATGGATTCATGATTTAGGTTGCTCTTTCCACATGTGCCCCAATAGAAACTATTTTTTGGATATTGAACAAACTAAAGGAGGCCAAATTATCATGGGAAATAACATAGTCTGCAAAGTGAAAGGTATTGAAACCATAAAATCACTTTTGGAAAATGATAGAATTTTATTATTAAAGGAGGGCCAGATTTGTTCCTGAATTAGAAAGAAACCTTGTGTCTCTAGGAATGTTGGATGACATAGATTTTGACATAAATTTGGGTTAAGTACATATAAAAATCTTTAGGCGTAGTGATTTGATCACTTCTATCCCAAGGAGACATTATTTATACTTTTTAAATGCAAAACCTTTAATGGGTCTTTCAGCAGCAGTTTTAGATGATGAATTTAATCTTACAAAATTGTGGCATTGTAGACTTGGTCACATTGGGGTGAAAGGTTTAAAGGCCTTACAAAATAAAAGTGTATTTGAAAAATCAAATATTGGTGAATTGTCTAAATGTGAATAAGTTAAATTATCTTTTTCCACTAGTACTCTTAAATCAAAGCAAATTCTAGAGTACTTACATGTTTGTGGGGTATTGCATCCACCCCTACTTTGTCTGGTGACAAGTATTACTTGCTGATTATTGATGATTTTTTAAGACAAATTTGGGCGTTTCTTCTAAAAACTAAAGATAAAACATTTGTCACATTTAAAGATTGGAAAATCCAAATCGAAAATCAAACTGGTTTGAAAATTAACACTTTGTGAACAAACAATGGACTAGAATTTTACAATTATGAGTTTAATGACTTTTGCAAGTTGCATGGCATCTTAAGACATAGAATTGTGACCTACACACCCTAACAAAATAGCATTGTAGAAAAATGAACAGGACTTTGTTGAATAAAGTTTGATGCATGCTTTCGAGTTCTGGATTGCCCAAATTATTTTGGGGGTAGAGCTGCTAAAACTACTGCATATTTGATTAATAGAAGACCTACAAGTACTCTGAATTTTGATGTGCCTGAATTTGTATAATTGAACTTAGATCCCTTAAGTGTGTGTTTTTGAGCTATACTGAAAATATTAAAGGATATAGGTTGTGGGTTTATGGGAAAAAAGGTTACAGGGTTATTATAAGGAGGGATGTGATCTTTAATGAGTCATGTATGCCATGTTTGGAAGGAAAACAAGGAAATCTGACTG